CAAAGTAGACCAGACCTTCAAAGTTCCCTGCCTTTTTAAAAAGGTCTGTCAGATATTCTAGGCCTATGGGCAAAAGATAGATGCCCCAATATTACGAAAGAACTATCAGTGACTGTCCAGGCACCCTAATGTTCCTGTCTTTAGGTAATATTACACCTATCTGGGATCTTTGATGAGTTAAAAACTAAAGGCTTTGTGGGAGCCTAGGCAGTTTGGATGCTCAACTTTTTAGACCTGGATGGAGGTGGGGGTTCCTTGGACTCCCTACAGGACAGGGAACCCTGATTGCTTTTCGGGTTGGGGGGGGGACTTAATTGGGGGAGGGGGAGGGAAATGGGAGGCGGTGGCGGGGAAGAGAAAGAAATCTTTAATAAATAAATAAATTAAAAAAAAACTAAATAGTTAAACTTAGAGTTTTCCCTAGTCTTGATAAAAAAGGGGAGGGGGGTAAATTAGGCATAAGCCTTTAGACTCACAAAGATAGATAATATTTTCTCTAATTTTGCCATACACACATGTATTAGATATTGCAACTGTAATTCTTACTTGATAACTGTTTTGTTATAGTTTTACTATGTTAAAGTTAAAACCTTCCATTTTAATTAGACAAAAAGAGGGAAACTGTGGAATAATTCTTTTGTAGAGTATGAAGATGTGTTGCTCTCTCTTTTAATAAACAGCTGATTGGCTGATAGCTAGGCAGGGTTTTCAGGACAGAGAGAACACTGAGGAGGGCAGAGTTGGAGGAGCAGCAGACTTGGAAGAAGCAGCAATAGAAGTACATAGAATAGGTAAACAAGCCTCAGGGCAGCACATTACTAAAACTGGGCTAATTTAAGTGGTAAGAGCTAGCTAAAAACAAGCCTGAGCTATCAGCTGAGCATTTATAATAAGTTTCTGTGTGGTTATTTGGGAACCGGCTGGAAGGAAAGAAAGTCCACCTACAATATACACATCTGTGATTGCTTAGTTAAAGGGAGGCAAAGGATTACATAATGTGCCACATAAAAGTATGTCTGGTAAACAGTGCAACACATGACACTGAACTTGCAAATTTTCTCAAAGTGGGATCTTGTCACAAGTTCTCTAATGGGTGTCTCACTGGAAATGAGGCTAGGAAATTTCAGGAATTAACGAAATAAAACAACTTTGAAACAACAAAATTCAGATTACCTAAAAATACATTGCAGAAATGATAAAATGGATTATTTCAGCTTTTAACAAACTTGTGAGTTAAACTGAAGTCAGTGACATTTAGAATAGCACTGCTGCCTATGTTCCCTACATATTCTAAATTCAGCTACATGTGTCTTATAATCACAAGGTATGGTTACAAATAGCAGTAATCATTGCAAAGCAAATTACAAGGTGGCACACCAAAACATTTCACCTCCAGCAGAGGACGGAGTGGATTAGCTCACTCATGAACCCTGACTGTTATATGCTAAAGACAGCAGATTTTAAAATGATACACACACACACACACACACACACACACACACACACACACTAAAATAGCTCCACCCTGTATTAAAAGTAAAGGCAGATCCTTTGCTTTAGGCAAAACATCTAAACACATTGATGAAAAATCTTAGATACAAATATTTAAACTTTTATGGGATCTGGAATCTTCCTAAAAGACTCATTTCTCAACTTTTGTTGTCTTTATTTTCTTGAGATATGTTTTCACTGTGTAGCTTAGGCTGACCTCAAACTTACAGCTCTCCTGCCTTTACATACTGAGTGCTGAACTGTAGGCATATACCACCATATCTGGCCTCCATAACTTTTCATACGGCCATAATCATGCAAATAAAAAATTTATTTACATAGGCCTTTAAAATATTACACATCAATATTTTATAACAAATGTTCACTCATGCAAGATTATGCCCAATATCATTGATACACATTTTGCATGTATAATTAAAGTGACATATAACAATCCTTTCAAGCTGAAAGACATCAATCACCACCTTGTTCTAAGCTTCTGTTCCTGCTTCTTGTGCCAAGGACTGGGGGGACCTGCTCTCTGGTTCTCAGGACCTCAGTCTTAGGCTGAGAGCTACACCATTGGCTTCCTTGGCTCTAAGGTGTTCAGACTTGAAATGAACTACTTACCTGGACTTTTATACTATAAAATATTTTAAATTTTTTTTTGAGAATTTCATAAAATACATTTGGATCCTATTCCCCCACACACACACCCAGATCCTCTCAGATCACCTTCATCTCATCTGTCCAGCCAAATACATGCCCTTTTCTTTTTAATAATACCATGGAGTTCAATTTGTCTTAGTAATATACTCCTGGGTGTGGGGTCATCCGCTAGAGCATGGTCAACATAACAGGCCACACCCTTAAAGAACAGAAAGAATAGTCTGGCAAACAGAAAAGTCCCAGATTTCAATCTGGACCCTAGACCTAATTCCAGCTTTACCTTCCAATTAGAACACTTCCCAGAATGATCCCTTTACTTCTACTAAATTTGATAATTTTGCATGTCCTGTTCTTCAGACTCCAAATAAGTGGCTGAGTTAAAAATGTCCAACAGATGAACTACCAGTTGGTAGTTGCTGCCTAGAACGCTGTGCTGCAGACAGTTCTGAGCAAAGTATGAATGGTAAGCTATCTGAATCAAGCTTAGGGAAGGGTGTGCTCATTGCCTACTGACCACCCAGCCTAGCAAAGCTTGGCCTAACCAAGTCATCAGTGGTAACTGGAGAATTGGATCTAAACAATGAAAGAACTGTAGAAATCCGCCCCCACTCTTTTTCTTTTCGCCCAGTGCTGCTTCTTACCATGATCCTTTTCTACCTATTTCCCCAAATCCAAGAAAATGGGTGCTGTCTACATCAATCAATATTGGGTAAAAATGCAGTCTAGTTAGGAGTCTTCAAAACAGCCTTTCCCAGCTGCTTCTTAAAGTGCACACAGAAAACTCACAGCACCGCCCACCGCCTAACTGCTAGCCACTGGAAAGAACCATGAAGTATGGGGATGGTTCCACTCCCTGCCTTGGCTCTGGGAGCATATGCACTTCAGCTGGGTGAATCCCATTCAAAAACAGGTTAAACAGAAAATTCAGAAAGGGATAAAGAAAGGAAATAAGGAAATATAGAGAGATTGGGCAAATTGGCAGATAAGTAAAGGAGGGAGCAATTTGAATTCAGGAATGCTGAGAAACCCAGGGGCAGAGAGAGGGAGGCAGAGAGAGATGCTGAAATAGAAGTACGAAATTCCATTCCTTTTCCTCATATGTATTTTACCAAAACCACAGCTGTCCATTTTCATAAGCTATGTAGGCCTGCATTTTCTGCCATCTGCTCTAGAATGTAGCCCACACGGTCCTGACAGCTAAATGTTCTTCTCCTCTTGTTCTAACATCTTCTTGCTCGAATACAAGAGTAACTGAGGAGCACTTGTCATTCTAAAGTAATTTGGCAGTTGTATTATTGTTTGCCATGCAAGATGCAGGTCTCACACATCTGCATGTCACACAACATGACAGTGAGTAATAAAAAGAACAAGGAAGGCAGAATGGTGCACACCTGCAGTTCCTGTATTCAGAATACGGAGGTGGGATCCTGGGCTCAGCAGCAAGACCTGTCTGGCAATTCCTGTATTCAGAACACTGAGGTGGGATCCTGGGCTCAGCAGCAAGACCTGTCTCAGAAGGCCCAGGAAAAGAACTGGAAATCCTCAGATGTTGGATCTTGACAAGAACACAAGGTTTTCTAAAGCTCTTTGAAGGCAAATAACAAAACCTCCTTGACAGATAGGACAGTGACCAGGAAAGGATGTTATCTTAAATGCTGTAATTTTTTTTATTGAAATGCTGATTGCCACAGCACAACTCTGTAGTGGCAGATTCAGTTTCAGTGAGAATGCTGATGGCTAGACTATGATCAACCAAAGCCTCCACTACTCAGTAAGAAAGTAGTGGAAGCGATAGGCAGGGATGAATGTATTCTGGTGCAGATAGGGGCCTGTAGGTGAATGCTGCCAAAATAGAAATGTCAATTGTCAGGCCTTGTGCATAGCCACCGTAGAGCTACTTTTCAGCTTCTTTGCAGACTAAAGTTGTACGCCTCTTCCCTACAGTCCCGTCACATACGCTGGGCAATTTTGTTCTATGAGAATTTATTATTTGCACTCTACTCAAATGTCTTGGCTGGAGAAAAAAATTCAAATTCTAGCATAAGTACGCAAAAAGATACTTAGAAATCTCAAAGTTTCACATGCTGGAAGTGGACTCCAAATGAACAGTAGAAGACACAAACTAGAAGTAATAAACTAGTGGGGATGGGGTCTTTCCTAGAGAATGCTTTATCTGGAAGGATGACGGTTTTCATCCCAAGATCCCAGAGGGAAAGTAATCATCCATGGAACACTTCCTGAGGCAGAAATAATAGAGTCAGCATAGTATAGTATACTTAAAATTATCACCCCCCATTAGGTTAGGAACGCTCCCAGCGGTGGCTGGTTGTCTCAGAAGACCCTGAGAACCGGTGTCAATGTATTTATTTCCAGTTTGTGTCTGGTTTTCTACTGGACAATAACCTTCCCTGTTTGGAGCAAGATTTCAGCATTCATTGGAAGAACTATACTAAGTTTTAAAGAGTGCTACCTCAGTGAAGCATGCAAGAGGTGTAGAGAGATCATGAGCTCCAGGCCAGCGGCCTCCTTGTCTCCCAGTATGGAGGTCAGAGAGGGCAATCTGTCTAGGAAGAGACTACATGCTGTTGGTTTTTCCTCTACACCATGTTCTGAGGAATCAAAGATCAGAAGATTTAAGACAAAATATTTCTTTTACAACAGGCATATCATGCAAAATTGTTGCTTAAATATTTATGAATGTATACCTCTACCTATTTAGGGAGTTCTATGTACACCTAGATTTGTGCAAATATTAAGGATTCTTGTCTAATGTGGACCTCCAATCGGATGATGAAATAATTTTTCTTTGATTACAGTAGGAACATAGAAAGTTTTAATACTGATTTTTTTTCACAAAATACTATTATATATATTTAAACACACAATTACATAATTTAAAAACATTATTACATTTGACAAAGGCAAGTTATTTGACTATCATTAACCAAACATGGTTATAACAAAAATGTGAATATGAGGATTTGTTATTTCAAACTTCAGGGTTTTTTGCATATTTAAGTGTATATAAAGCATGTAAGTGAAACTAATATTATTTAAATAATAGTTTTTGTGAATTTATATATAAATGTCTGTTTCACATTTGAGACATCAATCCCTTCAAACATACTTCCAGACAATTTTGTCTTTGTGAGTTTAAGATGCCAACTTAATTAAATTACTCTATCTGAATTTCTAGTTAGGAAATTACATTAAGGCAGCATGTTTTTCATAAATTGGATGAAAGAATATGTGTTGAATTATTATTGCTATTTCTGGCATTACATAAATTATCCTTAATCTTAAAGCAAAGCATTTAAAAACATTGTCCCACCAATGGTATTAGTAAGGAAATTGCATTTTGGAAGACATTATGGACAACTATTTCCCTCAATTATTTGAAAGTTATTAGAAAGTTATGTTAAAATTTCAAAACAAAAATGAAAGAGACTGACATTTTGGCTGTGAAGCTGCAAGTGCTACAACAAACGAAACTTATGGCTGTGCCTTTACTCAGACACTGATTCCACAGCAATGACGGTGCCGTCCATTATTTAATATCATGACCTTAAAAATGTCCACCCATCAAGGCAAGCAGATGACTGCTAGGCTGTTAGAAGCATGGGTATCTGGGCACACTGAGAACTCACCACTTCCTGTGAGAAACTTACTGAGAATGTAGTGTATGTATGCACTCCAGGTTGGATAACAATGGAGAGCAGGTTTCCTGCCATGGCCAGAGCCAGAAGAGAAGAGTCAGAAAATCTAGGAGGAAGACACGGGAGAGAGAGCAGAGGGTGAGATAGTACTATATATACCAGTGACTACAGGGAAATTAGAAGTTTAGAACCATTCTTCGGGGTGCTAAATGGAGAGTGCAATGCACTTTCTAACTCTCCTGAGTGCTGGACTAAGTGTGTGCTGTTATTGCAGTCTTCCTACCAAACACAGAACTGGGGGAAATGCTTGCTGAATAAATTAGAACTGTACTAACTTTCCTATTATGAAGCAGTTTATCTTAGATAAATCACATCTGGCTGTTTCATGACTGGAAACAGAAGATGCCTGGTTGCAGTTAACTGGAAAAGCCAGTAATATGGGAGATATACATTTGCATTTATTTTTACATCTCTCATCATTGAAAATGCTAGATAACAAAAAGATAAACATCACCCAAAGCCCAACAGGACTGTAAAATTCCCATGAAAATATACTTAACATGCTGTGCATGTTCTCATGTAACCAGCCTTTCTTCTTCAACTACCAACGGCACTGAGCTTGCTAAGTAAAAACATCTACTTTATTTGAATAGTTGGTTACTATTAACTCTGTATATGTTAATATTTATTGTTAGAGTGGACATTAAAGTTCTACATTTGTACTGAAAATGAAGCAAAGAACTACATCATTCATATATCTGCACATCTAACCAGTTAGTAACTCATAAAAATTTTCTGCCATCTTAGGACAAAGGGTTGCATATCTCTAAGGGTTTTAACATGTATTTGCCTACTTCATTTGAAAAACACTTACACTGACTTCATTGTTGCTCATGGTGTTCTCTTGGGTTGTTGTCTTCCAATAGTCATTAGAATGCAGATATTCCCTTTTAATAGATGCAGACAGGTGAACAGCACCCTCCTTTCTCCCTTTGTGTGCATGTGGTGCTAAGAAACCTTGAGAACTTACCTTATGTATGCTAAGCACACGTTCCCAATGACCTACATCTTCTGTCCTTTGCGATTATCCTTTTAATCGGGGTGCTACTAATGTATTTGTCAGCGGTCATTATTTATTTTGTCCAAGACAAGTAAAATGTCCCTATGTTGTTTTATGTATACAATGGCAACACTATCTCAGTAACTCAACAATACCTTGTTGAGTTTAATCTCAAATACCAGTGACCTAGGGGATAAAAAATGGGGAAATAATTTGAATCTATTTTCATTCCACATACAATGCAAGACAAGATAAATAGACATCAATATAAGCTGTATAGTTCAAAGGAACTATTAGGAAGCTATTACATAGAAGATCTTTAAAATGTCACATATTAAGTCTATATTTACATAATTGAGTTCATATTTATACCTATACTCTGTATCAAAACTTTCATTAACTTTATATTATACTTTTAGAAAAAAATGAAAAGATATATCCTAAGAATGTGTCATTACTTTAAAGCTCATGTTAAAGACACAGTAAGGTTAAAAGGAATATTTTAATTTATGCAACATTAAAGAAAATATTTAAATAATGAAAGTAATAAGATTTATGAAGACCAATAATCTCATAATGGCAATTTCTATAAGAAATAAGTCATTATTCCCAAGTTTTTCATCTGAAAACTGTCACCCAGCAGAAATTTAGGGCAGATATATACTATCCCCAAGGTTACTCTGTCTTTTGTATAATCAGATCTTAAATAAACAAGTTGTGAATATGTACATCACAACTCGGTCTAGTCTAAAGGATCTTAGTCTTTCCTCAGCCCAGCTGCTGACACGAAGCTTCAGACATATCTCCAACATCTATAGAAAAAAATCCTCTAAGGTTATTACTTCTAGCAAAACATTCAGTTCAGTTGCTGTACACAGCAGATGACAGGACTCTTGATATAAATCCTCTCTTAAACCTGTCCATAGTCAGACAAACAAAAATAGAAACCAAGTCCTTGAACTGGCCCCAGTACACATACTTTTAGCAACTTATATCTAAAGTAGACTTCAGGAACACCCCTGTTTTGCCCAACATCATTGAAAAAGACAGATTCCAAAACTGAAAGACAGCACCATTAAGCCGGTTCCTACATAAGATCTTCCAAAGGCTTTGAATGCTAAGTTAGGATGGTAAGTAGAGAAATCTCCAAAGACAAATCAGAACCCAGGAGAAAAAAAAAAAAAAAAACTAAAATGAAAACTCTTTAGCATGTTTTCCTGAAACTTGACACATTTTTTTTCTTTTGTAAAGAAAAAAATGTTGTGAGATATATTTTTTAATTCATTTACTTTCTAAGTGTGTGTGTGTATCTGCCTGCCTCATGCCACAGGACACTTGTGGAGGTCAGGGGATTCATTGCCTTCGACACGTGGGTCCCAAGGATTAAACTCAGGTCATTAGGATCAGCAGCCCCCTTAGGTGCTAAACCATCTCAGTGCTGGATTTTTGAGGAATACAACAATGACCTATATTGCATGCATGCATGTACTTTCCTCAAACATATTAGCAGTGTGGGTGAGGTGCTAATGCTCAATGTAAAAACACATTTTATCTGAATGGAATCTAAACATGGATAAGCTTAAACTGTTATCTGAACCACTAAATTGACCTTTTGACTTTAAATATGTACAGATTCTATCAGAAGATACCAAGTTCAGATTGAAGATGCAGGCAGAGGTATGTTTTTATTCTAAAACCTTCTATATACATTCATATTTTTGACAAAACTCTAGAAGGTTCTTTCAAATGAACTTTAACCTACTGAACAGAACTTATATTCATGCTCTGATGTTCGCTTCAGCAGCATCTGCCTCTAAGAAGCACATCAAAATCACTCAAACATCAAACTGCTGATCTGACAGAATGATTTATTTTCCCATCATAGGAGAGTCGTGAGTGACTTGTTCTGAGGTATGTTTCTGAACTGTGAAAGACAGCGATTAAAAACTCCTCATTTGAAGGTTTCTCTTTAGGTGTAGCATCTCATGGCTGAACAGTCTCTGCTGGTACCAGATTCCCTGTTGTATCCAACTGCATACATTTACATGTGCATGCTGATACAGGACACTCTGCATGGTCTCTGAAAAAAAAGGTGAAGTAACAGTTAGTAATCCAAGCTTTACACACACAAATATATTTATATAATTAACTTCAAAATGCTACTGTATTAAACATATGAATTAAAACCCATAGTAAAACACTGCCTTAAGAGCATCAAATTAGAAACAAGCACCAAGGTGAACTCTGAAGAAAATGTAACTGAAATGAACAGTTTTGGTTTCTACATCAATATACCAAAACAGTTATTAAGGGGATTGATGTAGGATGTCCTTCTGTATGTTGTGAATATGTGTCTCTCTCATATCCAAACAAAGATATGGAGAGAAAGAAGGCAGAGTTGGAGAGACGGCATGTAGCCGCCCAAGGAGTAACATACTAAGGCATCACCGGTAAGCCATGTCCACGTAATGATACACAAATGAGTAGAAATGGGTTAATTTACAAATGAGAGCTAGTCGGTAATATGCCTAAGCCCTTGGCCAAACAATTACAATTAATATTAAGCCTCTGGGTGGTTATCTGATAAGCAGAAGAGGGGACTGGCGGGCAGAGATAAACCGGTTCAGTGAGACCAGGAGAGCTGAAGAAAAGTTTCCATCTCTGTGGGATAGGGATGAATTAGGAGTTAAGGTTAGCACAAATGAGACAGGCTTTTGTGTTATGTTAATGGACATCACAGGGCCACTGGCACTGCTCAAAGTCAGTAAGTTTATTTTGAGAATCTCCATTGTAAGAGCTATTTAAATGTGCAGCGCACCCGGAAAGAACTAGTGTAGTAGATTTGTGTGTGTGTGTATGTGTATGATTATATTCATACTTTAATTTCATGAGAAATTGTAAGAAATAAAAAACTATAAGGATCCTATCCCCCAATAGGGATAAATAATGTTAAACATTAATTAATTAATTCAAGGATTTCTTATATAAGTATGAAAAGAAAAAACTATGTAGCCCTAGCTAGACAAGAATTTGCTATGTTCAAACTGACCCTGAATTCATCTGATAGGAATTCACCTGCTTCTGCCTCCTAAGTGCTGGGATTAAAGACAAGTACCACCACACACCTGGCATAAGTATTACTTTTACAGTTTAACATTATATAAGATAATAATGGAACCATTGATACTACCTTTTTTAAGTCAAATCAGCAAACATGTTTTAAAAATTAATTCTCTACTGAGATACAATACAATGATATCAAGCTCCTAAACTATTGAAAAGGTTATCTGCTCTATGTCCTGTAACTATAAGATTATCAAGGAAGGAAAGTGCTGTTTACCTGAACCAACTAAGCATATGTCCAGCATGCCCGCCATGCCGACAATTGTGACACCAGGTAAACCAATTGTTAAACTGAGCTAACTTTTTGTCCTTGCTCAAGTCCACTTTTTCATCCGATTTGGATCCACCTATGGGAAAAGAAATTGACCACCATTAGCCAAATCACAGAAATTTAAGGTTCTTAAAGGGCAGCTATGTTAAAACATAAATCATATACCACATTGAAATAGCAATTTTAATGTTAAGATCCAGAACTGAATGACAGTTTACATATACATACATAGTTAATCAACAGGCTGATTTAGAAACTCAGTGTCACATGGCTGTCCTTGAAATCATAAGCATACAAGCAGCACTAAACGGAATCAGTGGGTATATTTATATTTTTTCTGTGTGCATGTGTGTTGTGTATTTAATTAGCACACAAAATAAAAAGCAGTCATGAACTTGAGGCAGTTGGCATAACTATATCTTAATTAAAAACACATTAGGAAAAAAGGTCTGGTATATACAGGGTTGTTTCTGGTGGCACATGCTTCAAAACCCGGTACTTGGGAGGCAGAGGAAAGCTGATCTCTGAGTTTAAGACTAGCCTAGTCTACATAGTGAATTCCAGGATAGCCAAGGCTATATATTGACACTCTTTCTCAAAAATGAAAAAAGAAAAAGACTGGTGTAGACCATGATTTAAGCAAGGTAGGGAAAAGGATTCTTGTAATTTCTAATTAACAGATTAAATAACGTAAATACTTTCATCTATGTTCAGTAAAAAAAAATTAAAAGACATGTAAAATTTGTTTATACACCTGCATCTTTGCATATACTTTTCTAATGACCCTTCTGTAGTACGTAAATTTCAGGCATGTTGGACGTCTCCAAGCTTTTCTACATACATTACTTTGCTATGTCACTTTTTGTGTTCCAAAAAATGTTGATTCTATTAATTTCGGCTACCTCAATGTTTTGTTTTAAAACAAATCAAATGAAACTATTTTTAAATCCCACATAATTACAGATAAAAACAGAAAAATAAATTAAGTAAAAAAATGTTACCGCCAACCAATTATTACCTTTTAAAACATGTTGTATAAATAAAAAAATTTAACTATATCATTGCCAGTCACACTTTAATAGCTACAGGAATAATTTTATAGCCAGGAATATTTTCTTAAAATATAATAATTTTCTGCTTGTGATATAAGTTAATAGGATGTATAAAAGAGGTAGCTATACTGAAATTGTTCTAAAGGACTTACAGACAAATCAACAATGATTAAAAGAAAAAGACGGGGAAAATAAAGATTTTATAGAGATACTTATCTTTATACACTTTATTCACTTTAGTGATTTTGTACTTTACTGTGTGTGCGTATTGCCTGCTTATATGTCTGTGAACTAGGTGTGTGTGTGTGTGTGTGTGTGTGTGTGTGTGTAGTGTCTGAGGTGGTCAAAAGGGCATTGGACGAGGTGGTAGTGGCATACACTTTTAGCACTTGGAAGGCAGAAGCAGGCAGATCTCTGTGAGTTCGAAGCCAGCCTGGTTTACAGAGCTACTTCCAGGACAGACAGACAAAGAAACCAAAAGAGAGGGAGCGGGGGTTGGATCCTTGGGACTGGAGTTACAGAAGGTTGTGAGCCATCATAAGGTAGCTTAGAATGAAACCCAGGTCCTCTAGAACAGCATCCAGTGATAGTAAACCGCTGAGCCCCCGCTCCAACTCCTTTATTTTTAACTTCTAACTTACAGAGGGACAGTCTCCAACAGGCTACTCTCTTGGACTTCTTCCCAAATAAATCTCTTTCTTAAAAGAGCTTTGGATGGCTGGGCAGTGGTAGAGCACACCTTTAATCCCACTTTAATCCCAGCACAGGTGGATCTCTGTAAATTCAAGTCCAGCCTGGTTTACAAAGTGAGTTCCAGAAATCCTGCCTCAAATAACCAAAAAAAAAAAGGGGGAGGGGGGAGGGAAGTTTTAGGTGGAGCAGAACAGAAGTTTTGATGAGACATTCCCTTAATGGGGAAGGGGGGCGGGCTGAGAAGAAAACAAGCAGAAGCAGAGCAGAAGAGGAAGAGGTAGATTCCCTTAGGACATTCCCTTAGGGAGAAGAGAGAAGGGCTCAGCTGTACCCACTCTCTCTCAAGAGAGGAACAGGAGTACTACATCCTGTGGAGAGACCATCTCCCACCGTACCCCAGCTTCAGGTATTGCCTGACTTCCCAACAAGTCAGGATATGGTCCCTCCAGAGCTGCAACACTCACAGTTACACTGAAAAACCAGTCTTGAAAAAAATAAACCAACAAACAAATCCTCTGGAATCGCAGATCTTTCTAAAGATTTTGGAATGACAGAGAGAAAATTTGTGGATCACTCCTTACTCCTCGAAAGATATTAGCCCTTCTTTCTTACTCTCTATTAGTTTTACATGTTCTGTATAGACTGTTGTTCATCATGACCTCTAAAAAGCTACTGGACTCACTCAGCTTAGTGTATCAGCCTTATCATAATATGCAAATAAGTGGATAAGCCAAATATAGGAGAAATTTCTGAAATAATTATGATGTAATAAATCATAATCAGCATTTATTAGTCTCCACAATAGCTTGAACTGATTTATGATCTAATATTTTTCAATTCTAGATTTTCTTTATATATGTATATATATATACATATATATATATATTTCACAACTAGAAAGGACCAAAAAGTTAACATATAATAAAAGATGAAATGTACTATAACTTCCTGATACTTATGGCCAAAGGCTATACTAAACATAAATAATTTTACATATCTCAGTTTTCACAGATATATTTAATTTGTTTAATTTTTTTGTTGTAGATGCTGCAAATTGTTGCATTTTTGGTACAATTGATCAGCATAAAAACCCTTAATTCAAATTTAAACAAAACCCTATGGGGTGTGATTATGTACACCTCTAATACCAGTACTTCAAAAGTTGAGGCACAGGATCATAAGTTCTAGGCCAGCCAGCCAGGGCATCATAGTGAGACACTGTCATAAATACTAAGATGTATATAGAAAAACATTATACATGAAGGAAAAAGTCACAATGGCCACTTCATTACGCCAGTGTACCAAACAGCGAAATACAATTTTTTATTTGTTTAAGACAGGATTTCTTTATGTAGGCAGCTCTGGGTGTCCTGGAGCTGTCTATATAGACTACACAGGACGTGAACTCACAAAGATCTGCCTGCCTGCCTCTGTTTCCTGAATGCTGTGGTTAAAGGTGTCCTCCACCATGTCCAGCCCAAGCCAAAATGTTTTTGATGAAGACTTTTGACGTTAGTATCATTTTCATGTTATATAACTGGAATGGTCCAAGCTACCAAGTATTCCATTATTTGCTGTTTTCAAAAAAAAAAAATTCCCATGTTTACTGTAAAGAGTAAAAAATAATAGTATTTGAGTCGGGCGATGGTGGTGCATGCCTTTAATCCCAGCACTCGGGAGGGAGAGGCAGGCAGATCTCTGTGAGTTCGAGACCAGCCTGGTCTACAGAGCGAGTTCCAGGACAGACTCCAAAGCCACAGAGAAACCCTGTCTTGAAAAACCAAAAAAAAAAAAAAAAAAAAAAAGTATTTTTAATCATTAAAAAAAAACATATATTGGTCCCAGAATGGTAGCATATTTTTTAATCCCAGTACTTAGGAGACACAAGCAGCACATCCCTCTCATTTCAAGGCCAGCATGGCCAACATACTGAGACCCCTTTCTCAACAAACAAACAACAACAAAACTCCACATCTACTTACTATAGAACTGACAAAACAGCAGACGCAAGACTAAAACTGAGAACGAAGGGGTTCTGGTTTCTGGGCTAATAGTTCATGTAGTAGGGAGGATGAGGGAAGAAGGAATGGGACAGTATTATGAGACTATCAAAAAGCATTTATAAATAGCTGTGAGCACAGTGAATTTTAAATATCAAATCTGAAATACTAGTAAATCCATGGTATAATTATAAAAATCACTCATTTTTAAGCCTTAGTCATCAATTGCCAGCATCTATGAGAATACCTGAGTAACCATAAACATAGAGTTTTTTACTTTCAATGTACAGACTTTATAAAGTAAAGTGCCTTTTCTTAAAAATAATAATCATTAGCGTATATTTTATTAGCAACAATAATTCAATTATGTAGAATTATGTAGGAGAATGAGTTGAGAAAAGCACTGTGCAATTATGTCTTACCGGGACAGCTGGAAACAGGCGTGCCCATATTAATGAGGCAAAGTGCACACCGAGGAAGGGGTTTCCGACAGCCAGGGCAACTTGTGACTTTCGATTTTGTTGGTGAGCCACTCACACCATATTGACTAAAGCCTCTGCCCTGATGAGGCACTGAGGAACAGCTGTAGGAGATTGATTTGCCACAAAAATTACAACTCACAAACACCTACAAAAGCAAATGAAAAGAGCAATTTAGTGCAAACCACAATGGGTTTATAAAGTCTGATACTGAAAAAATGTTTTACAATTTTATTTTACATTGCAAAACTATCCATGGGATTACTCTCAGTCATGTCTCCATGAGCAGTTACATTATTGGTACTTCCTGTCACCTTCACTTACTTACATTTCTGCTAATACCCTGATACCTAACATTTGTGAAATACTAGGAACTTTAGACCCTAACATTTTATAATAACCAGGGACAATGAAATGCATACAAAATACCCCAATGTGATTTAATATTAAATGTGTCCCACAGAACACTTGGTTCCTAGCTGGTATAGGGCCTAACTGGAGAAAGTGGGTCATCTGGTGTGGCCCTTCAGGTTTCTTAGCCTGGCCTCACTTACTAACTGTGGACACACAGTGGCAGTTGCATCATAGTCCTGCTCCCAAGCCTCCCCCCCCCAACAGTTGTATTCCCTAGAACTGCTGTACTTTAAACTGCTTCTTGTTAATTAGTTGCTCACAGCAACAAGAAAAGAAACTAAGATACCAACATGCAACCATTAAACCAAAAAGTCAGTGACCCTGAGCTGGGCTTCCTGACAGGCCTATGATCCAACTAGATGGATAGCTGATGCAGAGGATCACAAGTTCAAGGCCAGCCTGTGTAATTTAGTCAGAGTCGAAAGAAAGAGAGAGAGAGAGAGAGAGAGAGAGAGAGAGAAAGATGGAAGGAGAAAGGGAGGGAAGGAAGGAAGGAAGGAAGGAAGGAAGGAGGGAGGGAGGGAGGGAAGGAAGGAAGGAAGGAAGGGAGGGAGCTCTGCAGGTATAAGACCAACTACTAAGCACATACAAGGTCCCAGGTTCCATATTTCAAGGACAAAAAACAAACAAACAAACAAAAAAAAAAAACCATTCCCCACCACTACCTTTTGTAAGATGAAAAGGAACTAAGGCTCCTGCAATAGTACATTAAAAGTTCAAAACAAAGCTGGTGAGATGGTAAAAATAACCGTGCGAAGGTGCTCGCTAGGTTTTATAAAAGCCTTAGAGCTCTTCCAGATTAGTAACATACAGCACAATACAATCTTACTAAATACCTACTCCAGCTGCCACAATAAGTTTCAACTTCCTTTAAAAAGAAAATAGCACCATCCAGTGCTCAGGGTGAAGATAACCAAATATTTAACATCTGAAGTAATAGTATGATATCATATCACATACCTTGTGATAATTGATCTCATATTAAAAATGCCACGTATAGACATATGTTTATACTTATTCTATTTTCTAAAATCCTGTTCTACTCTATATAGATACATAAAAATAATACACACATGGGATTACTAACACGTGAGTCTGACAGAATTTGGCAGACACTGAATTTCAGACAGTAATAGCAACTAGACTTTCCTACGGTCATCTGGGCATACTGTCCTTTCTTTTATCTCAGAGTTTAGCTGTACAAGATAACTGTTAGGAAATTAAAAAACTAAAATAAAATAGGAAAAAAAGTTATGAAATAGACAAAGACATTAAGAGAAACTCAATATAAATAAAATAGGAGATAATAATTCATTATTATCTGACAAGTTAACATTTGATTCTCTGTAGAATATGCTACTTACCTGTGCTAATGGCTTGGAACTGGGATCCAATTTACTCCTATGTATATCAAATTCAGCTCGTTTGTGCCAAAACCTCCAAGCATCTAATAAGTTTCTGTAATTCTCAATCCAATATTGAACCCTTTCATCTTTAAGAACATCTAAAGGTGAACCCTAAAAAGAAAACATAAATTTCAAATGTCCTAGTTTAAACCAGAGGATTCTGGGTAGAACATGAATATAAGTAACTCAGGAGAAATGGCCTTTTCCCCGAAACTGGCTCCTAATGAGGAAAGTCTCAGTAATCTGCCTTACACTAGACTTCACTAGTAATGCAAACATGCACCTGTATAACATACTTGACCAGGAAGTACCTTTGTAGTTTAAGGAGCAGGTGGTAGTCAACGGTGATAAGAAAACCCCTTATCTTAACTATTAAAATTTATGGATTCAAAAACTCTGCTTATATCCAAATTACACACCAAAACTACTTAAACTATTTAAACTAACACTGAGCCTGGCCCTTTATACCTAACAGTGAAATGGTGCTAACATAAGTTAGATATGAAACTATTATATCTAATAGTGAAATGTTGCTAACGTAAGTTAGATATGAAACTATTATATCTAATAGCGAAATGGTCCTAACGTAAGTTAGATATGAAACTATTATATCTAACAGTGAAACGGTGCTAAAGTAAGTTAGATATGAAACTAATTTATCTAATAGTGAAATGGTGCTAACGTAAGTTAGATATGAAACTATTATATCTAATAGCGAAATGGTTCTAATGTAAGTTAGATATGAAACCATTATATCTAATAGCGAAATGGTGCTAACATAGGTTAGATATGAAACCATTATATCTAATAGCGAAATGGTGCTAACGTAGGTTAGATATGAAACTATTATATCTAATAGTGAAATGGTCCTAACGTAAGTTAGATATGAAATGCACATAAGCATTAGTGAGAAGCAAGAATTGGCTTTCCTAAGTTACAGTTCTTCCCATTCAGAACATCAATTTCTGACCAGTAAGAATATCTCTAAAACAAGTATGAGTGTCAGAGTCAGCAGAAGAGAGCTGTAATGTAGTATGCATTCAGCTTTACATTCAAAGAAAAATGTAGTGAAATTTTGTTTATGTTTTAACAAATAAAGCTTGTCTGAAGATCAGAGTGCAGAGCTAAGCCACTAGAGCCCAGGGAGTGATGGATCACACCTTTAATCCCAGGATTTGGGAGACAAAGGCAAAGAGATCTCTGTTAGTTCAAGGCCACCCTGTGATATACGAGATTAAATCCATCTAACAGAGAAACAGAGCTCACACAAAGGTGATCCCAGCACTTGGGATCACATGCCTTTAATCCCAGCACTAGGAAGGTGGAGACAGGAGTGATATGGCTGGGTGGAGAGAGGAATATAAGGCAGAAAAAGACAGGAGATCATTGTAGTCTGAGGTTTGGTGAAGACAGGTAGAGTCTGAGGTTGCAGTCTGAGGAAAGGATCACCCCTTCAGTCTGAGCACTGGTAGGAGCCAAAGGTCTCTCTAGTGCTGGCCGCGCTGCTTCTCTGATCCTTCAGCTTTCACCCCATAGCTGACTCCATGTTTTTATTAAGAATAATTAGGAAAATACTCAAGGAAAAACACTTAAAGACTAATGAAAACCAATCCTTTTAACTAGTGAGTAAATAAGGAATGTAATCCATAGTAAAGTTTATTTTTAAAAATACTCGTGGAAGATGGCGCGGAAAGTGAATAAAAGGAAACTCCTGTTCCTCCCAAAGTCAAAGCGAAGGCCTTGAAAGCAAGGACGGCAGTGCAGAAAGACGTCCACAGCCACAAGAAGATCTGCACATCACCCACCTTCTTCAGCCCAGGACCCTGGGTGGCTCCTGTTGCAGCCCAAAGACCCTCAAAAAAGCATGCCTAAGACGAACAAGCTTGACCACTATGCCATCATCTTATCAGCCTGACCACGGAGTCAGCCATGAAGAAGACAGAGGACAACACATAAATGTTCATGTGGATGTCAAGGCCAACAAGCACCAGATCAAACAGGCTGTGAAGAAACTCTATGACATCGATGTGGCCAAAGTCAACACCCTCATAAGGCCTGACGGAGAGAAGAGGGCGTATGTTCAGCTGGCTCCTGATTATGATGATCTGAATGTTGCCAACAAAACTGGGTTCATCTAAACTGAGTCCAGCTAGCTAATTCTAAGTATCTACCTTTTCACCATAAATAAAATATATAAATATATATACTTGGAGATAGGAAGAAAAAATTCCCTGGCAAGTTTAATGGCCAAGGGCAGTGACAGAACACATAAACAAACCAACATTAGTTGTCCAACTGAAGCTGGGTGTGGAAGCATACCACACAATTAAATGCAGCTCACAGAGATAGACATAGAAGGATTCCAGCTTGACCTACAAAATGAATTCCAGGCCAGCGAGGTCTACACAATGAGAACCTGTCTCAAAACAAAAAGAGAAAAGAAAAAAAAATTGTCCAATTGAAGAAGAGGAGATAAATAATCAAAAGGAAAATAGAAAATGAACAGAAACCCCCAAGCTCTGAACACTAGAACTTTACTATATGCATAGTAAGGCAAAAAAGAAATGGAGAATAAGAAATGCAGAAGAGATAAAGAACCAGAAATCATATACCTAAACATTCTAAATCTGATGAAAAAAAGTTAACAGACAGATCCAAGAAGCTTAGTAATCAATACACATAATACAGAGAATATAAGTAGGCCCATCAGTCTCATTTTCTTTTTTTCTGAAAAATCAAAGAGAAAGAGGATTTCTTGAAAGAAATCCATGGAAACATGAAACATCACATACAGGAAAGCGAGGAGAACTGCTAATTTCTAATCAGAATCAAAGGAGGCCAGATGGAAAGCATTTCTTTAAAGTGCTGCAAGAAGAACCGAGATGAACTAGACGCTTGTGTTAAATGTAAGCGGAGGCCATCACCTCTAGTACAAGACATGCTAGAGAAAAAACAAGGTGAGGAAACAAGGTTAAACTCAGATCCACAGGAGGATCAGACACTAGGAATAGTGATAAACAAATAAAAGGTCTGTAATTCCTTTCTTATAATTTATAGAACAGACAAATTACTATCTAAAGCAAAACCAATACTGTAAGTTGGAGCTTATAATATACATAGAATAAAATATGTGATCAGTGGACAAAGGAAAAATTGCATAAATGAAATTATACTGTCATAATACTTGTAAAATGCAAAGTTTAAGAAAAACCCAGTGCTAGATGTGAGGAAGGAAAGAAAGGATATAGGAAACATCTCAACAAGAGCGGCAGTTATCGGACTGACTTTTAAAGGTCACATTATGCACTTACTGTTTGCATTTTAACATTTTATAAATTGTGATATTACCTACCCATCTGTACTCTGTAGTCACATATCAGCAGTTCATTAAAAGATAAAAAAACTTCATTCCAGTGAGAAAAGTTGAATGACAGAATACCTTTTCTCACATGTGTGGCTTGATATTTTATATAAGCTGACTCTGCATTTGGAACCCGCATTAGGCAAGGTCACAGAAAAGCATAGAGAAGGGAAGCGGTAAGCACATTTTGATTTGCTTACCAAGGTAAAGCAGGCTAAAAGAGAGAGGTGCTCATGCCACAAAAGGTTAAGACTGCTGGAGGGTTACTGGACATGGTAGAGACACGGAATTCATGTTTCACACAAAAGTGAAGTAGAAAGCAACTTCTTCCTGGAATCTGGTCCAACCACTAGACTGTTAAAGCAATGAACAAAATGTTGATGAACTAGTTATAAAGAGGGCACCGAGTGTGAAAGAGCTGGAGTGTAACCGCTCCTCTGCTGGTCAGATGAAAGGGAGCCGCAGTTCAGAATAGGAGACGGAGTCCTTTATGGAAGACGGGTTGACTCTGACCTGAGGCTCTGATTCCATCTGAGCTTGACGTGAACTCAGATGCAGTCAAGACCAGTATTTCTTAGACTGAAAGAAAGATAAGCTGATGAGATTAGGGCCATTAGAGACAACACAAGTCCTCAAGAGAACTAAAACCCCAAAGCGAGGAAAAGAGCATGTGTGCCTCACCTGAGGATATACACCATGGAGAATATGGCTTGGCATTTTGTTTTTAAGACCAGTGTCAGACTGCACTAACCTGTAACATGCAGTAGCTTGCTGTCTGGACGTCTCCAGTTCTATCCACGTAGCTCTCCATCAAGTCCACTCCATCTTTAGTGAGGCCTGTAAGCAAGATTCCTTCCAAATTGCCAGCCTCTTTCATTTCATTGGTCAGCTTTTCAATGTATTTATTTAACTGAAAAATTCAAAGTGACTTTTTAAATATAATCTGTTTCACTACACATTTAATTTAGAACAATGTTATTATTGATGAAAAACATTTTAAGACAAAAACTCTTACCAAAATCTAGATATGTACTAGGAAGTCTATATCTATTTCAAGTTTCAATACAGTTTGCAGGATCACTTTATTTTTTGTGTGCTGTGCGGAAGCGCACGTGTGGAGGCCGGAGATTGACATCAGATGTCTTTCTCAATAGCTTTCCATATTGTATTTAATTCAGGGCTCTCACTGAAGCTGGAGTTTGCTGATTTGGGAGGATGGCAGAGCAGTAAGCCCCAGGGACCCTCCTGTCTCTGCCACCCAACCCTGGGATTATAAGATAACACCCAGGTATTTCCACAGGTTCGAGGGGATTCAACTCAGTTTCTTGAACTGTGCTATCTCCACAGTGCCCACACTCCTCTTCAAAACTTACATTTCCTATGTTTATAGACGGCTAACTCTAAGAGAAGTTTCGCCTTTTCAGCAAATTCTTACCTCTCATGGTACTATGTAACAGAATCGCAGAATTGGAATTACATGTTGAAAGCCATCAATAAAAATGATTTCTTTTACATGGTCTAATTTCACCCTATCCTAAACTCCAGCCACCGTTCCTCCTCATTTCCCCAAATCCTGTCATTAGAATAGCACTGCTAGTCATTGCTGTGAGGAGTCCTTCAGTATATGTGTTGCTTTTATTGCTTAAGGAATAAAGCTGTTTCAGTTAGTGGCTTGGCAGAATAGAGCTACACAGGGAAAACTAAACTGAATGCTAGGAGAAAGAAGGCGGAGTCAATGAGATGGCCATGTAGTTGCCAGAGAAGAAAGGCACAAGCTGCCAGTCAGAACCTTGCCAGTACGTCACCAGCCTCATGGTAAAATATAAAATAATAGATATGGGTTAATTCCAAATGTAAGAGCTAGCTAGAAATATGCTTAAGCTACTGGCCAAACAGTATTCCAAGTAATATAGTTTCAGTGTCATTATTTTGAGTCTGGGCAGACAGGAACAAACGAGCAGCCTCCCCCAACAAGTCATCTCTGTATATTTCATTCTCGAGACCTCAGAGGCAGCAGCTAAGTGTTTAGGTACTGAAATGATTTGCATATAACATTACTAAAACCTGAACTTAAAATTTCTATCTGCTATGTCTTCTTCTAAAGGAAAAATTAAACTAAAACATCAAGTCAACATTCTAAAACAAATTTAGATAGTACATGCATATAAGTTCAATGTAATAATTACCTTTTTAGATTTTGTGTAAAAATTTACATGTAAAGATAAGTTTGTTAAAATACTTCATAATAAACATTAATTACCTCAAATATAGAACTGAATCGGTTCTCACCTGAGTATCACCAAGGAATTTACAAGCAAATGCCACTCTGTCACGTACTGCAACTTTGTTTTCATACTGGAAAACAAACAATTGTACGCACCATAACTTTTCTGTTTTTACAGGGAACTAAATATGCTCCTAATATGTAAGTTTATTTTCATATGTATTAGAAAAATATATGTGTATTCTATACATTTTCACACATATATATCTTCAGATATTGGAAGAGTCACCAATTGCCAAAGAAGTCTTTTCTGATTAAATTAAATGCATTCTTAAAATAGCTTGGATCCATGAACTTCCTTGTTAGTTCTCCCTTTTGGTGAAAGAGAAGGGATTTTACTAGAGGTGACAAATGAAAATACAGAATGCAATGTTTAAACAATTGGTTTATTTCTTTTTCTAGGCTCATTCTCTAGCACTTGCTTAAGTATCCTGTCAGCTCAAAGACAAGACTTTAAAACCTCTTGTTTAGCAAATATAGTAATAACAGTCAAAAATAAACATTTCTTGATATTAATTTGAAGATCAGAAAGGTTCACTAGAACTTTATTTGACATTTGACACTGTCAAAATGGACACTATACTTAAATTTCCAGCATGCTAGCTCATAAGACACATGTTGTTCTAAACCTTACAGACTGCATGTTTGATAAGAAATGCTCTGATGGGAAGCAGAGGAGCACAACTGAGGGGAGAAAGTTCTTTTCATTGCTAGAAAGAAGACAGACAGCACAAAGGAAAAAGGTTTTTATGTGAAGCTTGTTACTCAACAACCGAAATGAGTAAGGAAACCTCACTTCATGACAAGGAAGAAATCACATGGTTATACAAGTGACTAAAATAACTGAAAGACTAAATTAAATCAAGTTTTTATAAGTAGTGTGATTACATAATTTGTTTTCCAAACAGAAATCATCTAAAATGACCAACATTAATTTAGAAGGACACCTTAGTCAAAACTGACGGACCCAGTTATCTATATACACACAAGTACACACAAACGTATTCGCACTATTTAAACAGCAAATACATGTATACGTTTATAGCTGTACATTTCTAGAGCTCAGTTCTTCAGGAAAGGATGAACTACAAAAAGCAAACCTGTTATAATTCAAAGGACGATCTGGGGAATCAAAACAGCTTACCAAAACTCCATCATAAGCTCCTGCTTCGCTGGTCAGAAATGCAAACATGACACAGAGATAGGGGTTGTTGAGCTGCAACCGTAGTGTGCTGCACATCTCTCTCCAAAGAGAGTTCTTCTCGTCCGTATACCCTGATAAAGCCATTGCTACCACATTGAGATTCAGATCTCCTGTAGGTTAAAAATGTGCAGCTAATCAAAGCAATCAGAAACTAATAACCTCTTTCCCCACAGCTGTTAAATCTCGACACAGTAATCAGATAGTGAATTTTATCCTAAAAGAAGCCCACTTAAATAAGAAAAAAATTAAGACTGTTAAATTTGGTAGAGTACAAAGAAAAAAATCCATTCTTAAAAAACAATTCATGACAGATTCAACACAATGTCCATCAAAATCCCAATAAAATTCTTCAAAGACCTCGAAAGAACAATACTCAACCTCATATGGAAAAGCAAAAAACCAAGTATAGCCAAAAACAATCCTGTACAATAAAAGAACTTCTGGAGGCATCACTATCCCTGACTTCAAACTCTACTACAGAGCTACAGTACTGAAAACAGCCTGGTATTGGCATAAGAACAGACAGGAGGACCAATGGAACCGAATAGAAGACCCAGATAGCAATCCACACATCTTCGAACACCTGTTTTTTGACAAGGAAGCAAAAAATATCAAATGGAAAAGAGAAAGCATATTTAACAAATGGTGCTGGCATAATTGGACATCAACATGTAGAAGAATGAAAATAGACCCATATCTATCACCATGCACAAAACTCAAGTCCAAATGGATCAAAGACCTCAACATAAATAAAGTCGGACACACTAAACCTTATAGAAGAGAAAGAGGGAAGTACACTTGAATGCATTGGCACAGGGAACCACTTTCTAAATATAACCCCAGCAGCACAGATACTGAGAGAAACAATTAATAAATGGGACCTCATGAAACTGAAAAGCTTCAGTAAACCAAAGGATACAGTCAACAAGACAAAACGACAGCTTACAGAATGGGAAAAGATCTTTACTAACCCCACATCAGAGGTCTGATCTCCAAAATATACAAAGAACTCAAGAAACTGAACACCAAAACAACACATAATCCAACTGGAAAAAAAAATGGAGTACAGACCTAAACAGAGAACTCTCAACAGAGGAATCTAAATTGGCTGAAAGACATTTAAGGAAATGTTCAACATCCTTAGTCATCAGAGAAATGCAAATCAAACAACTCTGAGATTCCATCTTACACCTGTAAGAATGGCCAAGATCAAAAACACTGATGACAACTTATGCTGGAGAGGTTGTGGGGAAAAGGGAACACTCCTGCATTGCTGGTGGGAATGCAAGCTGGTACAACCCCTTTGGATGTCAGTGTGACAATTTCACCTTCCTCAAGACCCAGTAATATCACTTTGGGGTATATATCCGAAGGATGCTCAATTGTGCCACAAGGACATGTGCTCAACTATGTTCATAGCAGCTTTGTTTGTCATAGCCAGAACCTGGAAACAACCTAAATGCCCCTCGACTGAAGAATGGATAAGGAAAATGTGGTACATTTAAACAATGGAGTACTACACAGCAGAAAAAAATAACGACATTTTGAATTTTGGAGGAACATGGATGGAGCTAGAAAACATTATTTTGAGTGAGGTAACCCAGACACAGAAAGACAATTATCACATGTACTCACTCATAGGTGGTTTTTAAACATAAAGCAAAGAAAACCAGCCTACAAACCACAATCCCAGAGAATTTAGACAATAATGAGGACACTAAGAGAGATTTAAATAGATCTAATCTACATGGGAAGCAGAAAGTAGAAAAAGACAAGATCTCCTGAGTAAATTGATTGGGTGCATGGGGACTTTGGGGGAGGGTTAAAGTGGGGAGGGGAGAGGCAAGGAGGAGAGCAGAGAAAAATGTAGAGCTCAATAAATAGCAATAAAAAATACTTCTTTGAAAAAGAAAAATTCATGTACACACTTGTGATCCTGTGCATAGTATTTTTTTTTCTGCAGTACTGGACACTGAATTCAGAATCCGACAGCAATGCTTTACCACTGAGCTACTTCCACAGCAGAAAGGACAACACTTAACTTTCAAGTTCTTTGTTCAGTACTTTCCTATATATTATATTATTATTTGGTACCTAAATTGAGACAAGTGAGACCATCTTACCAAAATCACTGCCACCCTTATCAGTAAAGTCATCTATGCTATCTCAGAGTACTATACCCCACTATTACAATTTTCAAAGTTTTATTTTCCTATTTCTAATTATATAATACATATACTGATATACCAAGTATCAACTGGAGAAAACAGTGTTTCAGTATTTTTACTATACTTCAAACAATTTCTTGGCCAAAATGAGCTATCAGAATTATCACACAACTGTACTTAGACATACTTGCAACAAAGCGTCCATTACCACTAACTTATATAAACTGTTCTGTTTATGTTCTCTAGTGCATAGGGCGCTAGCAAGCTGCCGACCTACTCTTCAGTTCTGTATGACCACTTCACTCCAAATGAGAAAGCTACAGTCTCCCTTTGTCTTTTCTCTCAAGCGTTTTCTACCTTTCAGACAGCCCTTGACCCTAACCATTCTTCCTCTTCCAATTAAACAGTACCTTCCCCCCACTTTCTGTTCTTAGCAGCTTCATTACTCACTTGTACAAAAATGCTTTCCAAGATACTTGGGGCTTCATTCTTCTGCCTACACTATTATTAAGTTTTAAGTCTTTTAAAATAAAAGCATAGGAATACCACATTTTCCAGGTACATATAATAGAAAACTATGTTTTCAGGTTGTAGCAAAATTAAATTAGAAATAGAGTCCTTTTCGGGAGGAAGAACTCAATAGCACTACATACTGAACCCAGGTCTCACATGTGTCCTTTTTTAAATGGCACTACACACCTCTCATACTATCAAGTGCAGAAGGCTTTCTCTGAAGTAAAGGTAACGATGATCAGGCTAAAGATCTAAATTTTTTAACTTTTAGAATGAAAATAAATAAATATATTACAGTCAATGGCATTTTTTATGGTATAAATGAACTATAATGTGTTAAAGGTGGGCCAGAGTAAGTAAGAATTTATTACTTTGAAACTCAGAAATAATTGTCTATGTGCGTTAAAGATAAACAGCTATATACACTTTAAGAATTTAAGTGAACTATACCTAATAATAATAAGCAAAAAACAAAACTTGTCATGCAGTGGTGGGGCATGAGGTGGTACACGTCTTTAATCCCAGCACTCAAAAGGCAGAGGCAGACAGATCTCTGAGTTTAAGGGCAGCCTGGTCTATAGGGCGAGTTCCAAGACAGCCAGGGCTACACAGAGAAACCCTGTCTCAAGAAAAGGGGGGGGGGGGGGCGGACACAGACAGCAGTAGGGTGGTAATTCTTGGTTTTTGACTGATTTGTTTCTCTTAAGGATCCTCTGACAAACTGAACTTTATCCTCTCTCTCTCTCTCTCTCTCTCTCTCTCTCTGTAGCAAACTGAACTTTATCCCCCCCCCCTCTCTCTCTAGCAAACTGAACCTTATCTTCCCCCTCCCTCCTTTCCTTCCTTCTAAGGCTACACAGGACATATGTTTCAATCAGACTCAAATAGAAACATTTTCCAGATCACAATATGCTTTTCATAAGAATCTATACTGGTCTAAACAAAAATATCATTTAGTATCCTACCAAAAGAGAAAGTATATACTAAAATATTGCTTACAAACAAAAGCAGTTCCAACAGACATTCCTCAATGTATATGATTCTCTTTAAAACGAAAAAAAAAGAAATACATGTGGGAAAACATATTATTATTAAAGCATCATTTAAGAACATTTTGTCTTTATTGATCTATCCTGAGGCATATATATATGGAACTGTCTAATACTTACTGCTTAGCACCATACACTTTCCCTTTCAATAAAAATGATATAGGATATAGGCTAGGTAACTAAGAACTATCCACATCCTCCCTTTAGCAGAGTCTATGAACTGCCAGTTCTCAGAACAGAACCTAATACCTTTTTCTGAAGATGCCCCTTCATTCAGGATTTGGATTGCTCGCCGAATATCCAGGTTGAACAAAGCCACTGCAGCAGCTCTTTCCCATTCTCCTTCTTGCACAAGAGAGTTCAAAAATGGTCCCACATCTACATCCGTTCCTTTCTTTACCCACCCACAAAGTTGTAATGCTAAAATCCTCTCTTCGTTTAAGTTCTGAATATCAGTTTGTTTGTCCAAGCCACTCCAATTATGTCTGCTGCTTTCCACCATTCCTAAAAACAGAGAATGCTTTATATTATTTTATTGTTATTTTGAAATATATTAGGCAACATAAAGTTCAGCTTTACGAAAAAAACGTCAACAGCATTTAGGATATCCAATTTCTCAGCCATAATCTTACAATAGCATAAATAAGCAAAATACTAAAATTTAAAACATTTTTCACCATAGTTGAATTACTAAGAAGCTACCGCTATAAAAATGGATGCTGAGACTAAGCTGAGTCATTGCTTCAGCCCTCTAAGCTAAAACAGATGCCTGTTCTCTACCTCACCACTTGTTTCCTGTGTCCTACACAGGATTTAACAGATTCTCACATCTGATCTCTCACTAGAACACAAGCTCCAACAGAGTAGGCAGTTGAATTATTTTATTTGCAAGGAATGCCCTCTGCCTTGGAGCCCCAAGCACTTGAGTTCTCTTCATTTCCTCCTGCATATGTGTGGTCACACATTTCTTAGCAAGAGAGACTGGACCACCTCTGCCTTACTGCTATATGCTGTATAGCTATCCATATGCATGAAAAAAATGAGATTACAGTCATCAAAGGACTTCAAGGTAAACAATAATGAAAAAATACAATGGGAATGACCTAACTATACATCACTCTGCTATTAAGTTAGAAAACTATATATTATCTTTTTTAAGGAAAAAAAAATACTATTTTCATAGCATTACACTGAAATCATGGTAGCTGGTTATAAAGGCAAAGTAATTTCATTTAAGCAAATAAAGACAAAACAAACAAACATGAAGTTTAGTTTATCAATTAACTATAACACATTCCTAAGTGTTCTAGAAAGTTTTATGACCAAACTGTCAAAAATACAAAAAGTATTTTCAGAAAAAATTAAATTATGAATGAGGAAATGTGAGTGTCCATATTGCAAACTTCCTTTATTTAGTAATTTACACATGTAACTTACAGCAATTATATATATATTATATATATATATTATATATATATATATATCTCAATGATACTTATATGAATAACTTGGTCAACAGCAAATAGATGAGCTTTCAGAATTCAATCAGCTTGCCAGGTAGTAGTGGCACAGGCCTTTAATCCCAGCACTCAGAGGCAGATGCAGGTGGATCTCTGAGTTTGAGGCCAGCATGGTTTGCTAGTTCCAGGACAGTCAAGGCTGCATGGAGAACCCTGTGTGCAGGGAAGGGGAGGGGGGTTCAACCCACTGACTGTAGGCTGAATGAAGTAGGGCCCCAGGATTCCTACAGCTCAGGAACCACACCCTTGAATAATCACCTCCTCTGGAATTTAAACTGAATCTGTGACTTGCTTCTAGACAACAAATCATAGCAGAGAAGAAAGAATCCTTACTCAACTGACTGTGAGTGACTCAATGGGCAGTTATGTAGTCTAAGCCTAAGTTAATCAGGCCAACCCTTAAAGAGAGTCTGTAAGTAAGAGATGCAGTAGGAAAGACCTCTTGGTCTTAAAGCAGTCAGAGCTGTTATCTTGGTAAGAAAGTCTGTGGGAAGCAAAGAACTGTAAACAATCTTCAGGAGCCATGGGTAGGCCCCGGCCACCAACCAACCAGAAAGAAGGACATAGCTTAGTTCTACAACTACAACTACAAGGAATCCACAGCCTCTCAGCCTCTGGTTCCCCAAACCCTAAAAACGACCCCCACTCTAGTTAGTAAAGGATATGAGCATATTTCTTTCAAAAGCCAAAAATTACCTAGATCCAATTCTTTCCCATTCCTAGGAATTTTATCTCCTACATGTGTCTTCAACCTGTTTCTGCAGTTTTTGAACTTGACCAACAACCACATGAATTTGGAAGAATATTCCTAACTCTAGAAGGAACTACACTTAGCCACAACATTCATCTTAGCTTTGTGAGACTTTGAGTAGTACCTAAGTACTACTAAGTAGTGACTCAAGGAGACAATGAGACAATCTATGTTAGAAGAATAGCAAGTGATCCAAAGCTGACTACAATTGATCTGTCAAAGGATTGAAAAAATAAGCATTAAAATGAGAATAGTTGAATGTGGTGGTGCATGCATTTAATCCCAGCATGGTGGCCAAGACAAATGGATCTCTGAGTTCCTGACCAGCCTGGTCTATATAGTGACCAGGACAGCGAGGACTACATAGAGAGACCCTGTCTCAAAACAAACAAAAATTATATAAAGAAAAATATTTAAAACTTAGTTATCACTTTTAAGTTAAACTTTATATATGTACATCTATGTATATAAATAAAAATCACTTAGTTTAAACACCTTACAAGGAATAAAAACAGGTCTAAGCTTTCCAATTTACCTAAAATTCATACTTTTAAATAACTTGTATGATTATCAACGTGATGGTGGTTTGTGACAAGTCTAAAATATTATCTTTGTCAGTATTTTAAACTATACCTTTTTGCTTTATGGAAAAGTTGTAAGGTAAGTTAATAAACTAATTAAATAATTACACTGAATTAATAATTTTGTGTTGCTGTGAATTAAACCTGGCCTTGAATGTGCTAAGAAGTTCTGTTGCTGAGCTACATCACCAGCCAAAAGGGATTTTCCCTGGAGGGGTTAGCAGTGGGGGTAGAAGGTAAAAAGGTTGGAGATGGGGAGTGAAATGCTAAGTACCCATCTATTGCTGAGCTGAGCAACACTGTAACACAAAAATTACCTTCACCCCCACCCCTCCCAAACAGGCTCTCATGGAGTCCAAGCCTGCCAAAGATGATCTTAAATTTCTGAGCCTTCTACCTCCACTCCAAGAACTGGGATTATAGAGTTGTTGGACACATTCAGTTTTAGCAGTGCTGGGGATTAAACCTGGGCTTCATGCATGCTAGGCAAGGATTCTCCCAATTCCAGCCCCAAATCAATTATTTTTCAATAGAATATTTTTAATTTAATGAACTGAACTCTGGCAGCTCAGGGATTCTTTCTTAGTTTGGCAATTATGCCGTGGGTAATTAGAATTATCAAAAGAAATGTGATACCATTAATTTCAAATGCATCATTACACTACGATTTTAACATCTATAAAATTTTAACAATCTATGAAAATCTATGCATGATATACATATCAATACAAAAATGAAAAACTTTTCACTGAATCTCATATTGCCCATATTCATAGGATCAATACTTTATTAATGTTTGCAAAGGAAACTGCATATGCAAACATTAAAATACCAATCCAAAATAAAAAAGTCTCAAATCACCAATCAGATAATAAGCATTTGTACGTCACACACATACACACACACGTATGTGTATAATTTATATATATATATATATATATATATATGATAAAACAATACACTATAAGAAAACTTTGGTGTTAAGGACACAAAAACACAAAATCTTAGCTATTTTGTTTCTTTAAATCAATTTGAGCAGATAAATTCTCTACATCAAAGTTAAACTTTTTCAAACTTTTATTGTGTTGGGTGAAAAGTCAGCTAGTCTTTTATTACACAACCCTCTGCCATATTAAAGACAGGAAGTGGGGTGAGAGAAATGGCTTCAGTAGTTAAGTCCTAGCTACAACCTTCATCCCCTGGACATCACACAGAAGGCCAGATGGGATGCATCTGAATCCCAGCACTCTCATGGGGACAAAGACAGGAACTTCATCATTTATAAACAGTAAGGAAGACCCTCCCGCAGCAAGGTGGATGGCTAGAAGTGACTTCCGAAAGTTGTCTTCTGACCTCCACGTGTGTGCAGCAGCATGTGCATGCCCACACTCGCACACGAACATGGCTTTTCCAATCAACATTTAAGCAAGCTTATTGATGTTGAAAGAGAAAAGAAAGCAACAACAGCCTTCGCTCTATTCAACGCTAGCTCCTGCCTCTAGTTATCATTTTATCCTCCCTCATACAGCTTGTTTTTAATTATTTATAGTTGATGATTTCTCTTCATACTGTTCAGCTGTTTCAAAGTGATTTCTTTCCCTTGTCTACATGAATATATGGTTCAATTTTTTCCTATCCCACCACTGTTCCCCTTTTAAGGCATTTCTTTTAGTTCTTACAACAATTTCATCTATTCCATAGAATATCAGGATTTCTAACATATTGCTTGCCCTCTGGTTATATTCCTCCTATATTCTGAACTCTTAGTCCACTGTCCAATACCATACATTTTACTGACATAGTACTTGATTCTTTGTGGCAGCAGTTTTTTTTCTTTTTCTTTTCTTTTTTTCTTTTTTTTGGCTTTGATCCCTCAGAAAAACACTCTTTAAAAAAAGAGAAAGAAAGAAAAGAAACTATCCCTTTTCACTATACATACCAATCCAAGTTCCCATTCTCCCCACTTCCCTCCACTCCTTCCACATATCCTCCTGCCCCAACCCCATCCAATCATCAGAGAGAGCAGGGCACACTGCCCTATAGAAGGTCCAAGGCCCTCCCTACTATAACCAGGCAGTGCAAGGCATATATCCAAAGAGAACAGGTTCCCAAAAAGCCAGTAGAAGCAGAAGAGAAAAAATCCTGGTACCACTGCCAGCGGCCCCTCAGTCTGCCCCAGCCATGCAATTGTCAAGCACACTCAGAGGGACTAGTTTGGTCCCATGCTTGGTTCTTCCCAATTCAGCTGGAGTTGGTGAGCTCCCATTAGCTCAGGTAGACTGTTTCAGTGGGTGAGCCCATCATGGTCTTGACCTCTTTGCTCACATTGTCATTCCTCCCACTCTTCAAATGAACCTCAGGAACTCAGTCCAGTTCTCTGATGCAAGTCTCGTGGCAGCAGTTTTTAAATTCACAAACCATGGTATATTCAGGTTCATAAATGGTGATATATATTATGCCTGCCTTTTTACTTCTGTTAAAGTAAGTAGAGTAAGGCAGTTTCTCATTAAACTTACTCATTTTTATTTCTTCTGATAAAGGTTACTCTTTCTGGTGTAGTTCTAATGGGAAAACACCAAAATGAAACAGATCTAAAGCTTTCCATTCATCTTTCAGCACTGAGCATCAAATAATTTCAAAGTCCTCAGAGAGCAAACCCGCTAGAAGAAATGCAGCAGCTTAACTGTGCATCCATGCTAATAGCATGGTGAAGCAGTCCTATGAAACAATGGCTCTGACTAAATTCTTCTCCTAGCATCTTAACTGGGTGCAGTACAAACAGACTAATAAAGCATGGAGGTTGAACCCTAAGAGACAATATAACATTCTCATAATTAACTCCAACAAAAAGAATAAGAACAACTGCTTAAAGCAACCAGTCTGAAAGTAGGTTTTTGTTTTTGGAAGGAGGGTGTCTTTATTCATAAACAGTTTATCTATTTAAATCTTACATTACTTTATTCATTAACCGATTCCTTCACTTACTCATCAAGAACTTTCAGGTATTCTTCAAGTTAGGCCATACTTCATGTCATAGCATAGTCCTTGTGAAAGTATTTGGAAAGCAAAATCAAAGGGATCTTCTTCAGTTAAGAGAGCTTTTAATTTAGTCTTTAAAACACAAGATGCTGTGATAAAATCCAAACTAACAATCAGCATCTCATAAATGCACTTGTATACTATCTCCCCTAAAGTGGGTCTTCAAATAAATAGCACAGAATAATAAATGAAGAGATTTAAGAAAGGTCTACTTTACATCAAAGAATCAACATTCCTTCCACAAAACATCTGGATATAATAAATACACTCAATATACCTAACAAGTCACTAAAATATCTGATCAGAAAGCCAAGAGAGAGTTATACAAAGGTATTTATTTTTGTACACAGTCCTGAGATAATCTTAATTTTAATCAACTAGGAATCAAGAGTCCAAAAGTTATAAATGTATTTGAAAATATAAAATGGAATTTTCTTACCCAAAGATGATTTTACTATTGATTTAATTCCTGCATAAACCAACGATCCTTTGTTGCCTGGAGATTTTTGATCCATATCTTCTGTATACTGCTTCATAAGTATTTAAATGCATAGGAAATACTGGTAATTATGCACAATAAAATATCTCAAAGTTAAAATTTAATTAAGAGCAAATCCATAGTAAGAATCTATACGATTAAGACAGTTCCACTTTACTGACCACCTTTCCCGCACCCAGTCTACAAACTAAAACTTTTAACAGTTTTAAATGATCTCACCTCAGAATTTTAGACTATATAATTTGTATTTACATACAAAACATTCAGTATGTTTACCCAATGTACCTCAAAAGTTAGCAAGACAAAGGATATAGTGCAGAGTATACCAGAGTGACTTGAGTTGTGGGTCTTCATTTCCAGCTAAAATGTGGTTTCTCCATACCTGCTCTGTATCAAGTCCATACCTTGATAAAGCCCGGAGGCGCATTTTTGTTGCTATATCTTTTTCTAAGGAATTGTCACTTTCTTCTTCCGCACATTCATACAAATGACGGCCACAAGCCCACATTAAAGAGGTAATTGGGCTCCAGGCAAGAGATATCCTTTCAAAAACAGTGAAGTCAGACATTGTTCGGTTGGGAGTTACAACTATCATTCGATTTTGACTCGTTGGATGCCATGCAAAGGAAGCAATGTAATTGTCACAAGGTTGCACACTTCTTTCAATTATTGTGGGTTCAGTTTCATCCCCAATGGGCGTAGGTGTATGCTGCATATCATACAGCCTAATAATATTACTATCCCTTGTTAAAGTAGCAAGCAGACCTGTCCTAGTTGGACACCATGCTACTTTTGTCAAGGGCTTTGGCTGCTCAGTCAAAGTCAAAACTGGCTTCTCAAATTTTCTAAGATCCCATATTGCAACCTGACCTTCATAGAAGGAAGCAACACGATCATGGAAGTATGGGTCTACTGTCACTCCTTGAACAGCTTTTGTATTTACAAACATCTTCTGGCTTGTGTTCCGAAGATCAAATATGGCTAGGTTACGATGCATGCCAGCAAGGAGAAGTTTCTGGTCTCGTGGAAGCCAACAAAGAGATAGACAAGCATCATTTTGTCCTAACTCATACAGTGGTTTGGTTACTAATAGTGTTGTCTCAGCTTCACCTGCTGAAAGTCTCACTTTTTCCATGGGAACAATATCAGGAGTATATTTGCTGCAGATATCCCATATCAGAACTGAAAAGTCAGCTCTGTGCTTGTCCAGACCAGCAGCAAGCCAGTTACTATCCAGTGGATTCCAAGCAAGGGTATTGCATTGTCGAGCATGTTTTGGGACAAATTCTTTTCCTATCAAATCTTTAAACTTAGAATTATGATCTTGACCAAGACTTGTAAGTACAACTCGACCATTTGCTTGTCCAACTGCTAGGAGACATTCAGGATCATAATTGAGATACCATGCAACACATTTCATATAGGGTGTATCTGAATTTATTGACAGTAATGTAGCTGCAGAGTCTTCAGACAAACGTAATGATCCAGCTTTAAGTTCTGAATTCACAGCCGATTCCACATGATAAAGGCTCAGTTCTGAGTCACATACAACAAATCTATCAACCTGGTGTGGTGCCCACAAAATATCAGGCTTGGTACCACTCATGTTTATTGATGGGCGCAAAAAGTCCAGTCAGGTCCATTCACTGAAATTGTTGAAAAATAAGAGGTTTAAAATATCAACAAATCACATTCCTTAAGTTGAATTCTCTACACAAACCTTCTTTTTTCTCTATATTTGTATTTTCTCTCCACCTACAGATTTAAGAAAATATTCACTTGATTAAAAATGGAGAAAGAAGAGTAACCACTTCCTACAATAAAGTGATCTAGTAGGAATCCAACAACCCTATCCCAGCTTTACTTCCCATGATAAATTATCTTAATTATACAGCTACTGGCACCTTCAATGTAACCTCGGGTTATAACAACTTCACTATGATGAGTAAATTAGTAAGTACCATACCAGTGAAGGGGGAAAATTTAAAAGTAGCATGAATCACACTCCTAAGCTATGGTTACAGCAGCATGCAGTGGAACACTCTTCAATGGTAAATGTTCTGTATTTATGCAAACAAGGGAATTTCTAACCACAGAGAGCTACTGAGTGCTAGTTACTTCACTTTTGACTGATATATGTGTATAATATAATGAAGTATACAAATTTGAAGTGTAATATGCTAGGACATAGATTTTTTTTTCAACTTTCAATAAGAATCAGGCTTCTGTAGCAGAGTAAAAACTGGAATGTACAAAAGAGTTATAAAATTTATCCTAGATTTGCTATAATTAGTTTTAGGATGACTTTCTCACCCTTCAATAATAAAGTTATTTAGAGTAGTACTTCCCAAATTTCACTCATTCGTAGACCACTTATAATGCTACTGAATATTTCTCTTTAAACTGACTCTTTTTTAAAACCAGAACATCAACTTTTAAGTTCATCAGTAGTTTCAACAACCATGCGTATAGTGTATAATTATATTTTAATATATGCTAAAATAAATATATTATTTTAAAAAGTGTTTGTGTTTTGCCTAAAAATTTCCTGTTTATGATTAGCAGTACACATATGACACTTACTCTGGAAAAATGAGTTATGTGGCCATTAGAGGCTCTTAGTTTTTAATTTTATAAGGTTTGGTAATTTTTGACTAAAAATGGAATAGTTTAAAAAATCTTATTTGAATAATAAAGACTAGATGGAAATATTAAGTATTTCTAAGTGGCTGGCAAGAATTAAAAGGCTGGATGCACAATTAACATAATATTTATAAATTTCACTACAAATATATTTTACAACCACGTTTCACCATACATTCCTAATAAACTGATAAGTATTCAACTCACACATAATTGCTTTACCTCCTAATCTTGTAAATATTTTTAGATATGAATTCCCAATTTAGAATTTTGTAGACTCAAAAATATATTTAACTTTTAAAAACTTTTTAAAAAAATAAAGTGTACAAATTAAATTCGGGGGATCTTAAAAAAATAAAAGGACAAGAATTTAAGAAGTATTAGAAGGAAGGAATACATTTGGGAAGTGTAGGAAGTATATATGGTGAAAAAACATTGTACATATGAAATTCAATAAATATTTAACTTTTAAAGAGATTTTATTTTTAAGTATGTGTATATATGCATGTCTGAGTGTTTATGCACATGTGTACAGTGCCTTTAAAGGCCAGGATATGGTTTTGGACCTCCTAAAGATGGGAGTGATGAGCTATTGTGAGCCATGTGATGTGGGTTCTAGAAAATGAACTCAGGTCCTCTGCAGGAGCAGAGTCCTCTTAACCGCTAAGCCATTTCTCCCACTCTCATATAATTTAGATGATTAGCAAAAACATTTATGAATTCTCATACTGGATTTATTTTCTTCTTTAACACTTCTGGAGCTCAGGATCAGTCACTTCAACTATATCCTTAATATCACTTTCACTTATTTCCTCTTCCAGCTTATTGTTTGCTTTTCCTTATTCCTAGACTATTCTAATTATTTACCTCTTTCCCGCATCAACTCAAGGTACTACACTGAAGACATTCTCAAGGTACTATAAACTGCACGAGAAATCAAGGTACATATAATTTCCAGACTGTGATACTAGCTCAACAATTCTCTTAATCATCTTTCCACTATCATCCTTTAAAAGTCAGAATAACCTTTGTGTTCTTCATAGGGGTGAGCATGCATGGTTTACGTGTTCATGTGTACAGGTGTGTGTGCAAAATGCAAACATATGCAGGGCATGGGTCATGTTAAGATGTCTTCTATCGGGGCACTTGCTGCTCTTCCAGAGGACCCAGGTTCCATTCCCAGCACTCTTGTGGTGGCTAACAACTACCTGAAACTCCATTTCCCACCCTCTATGGCCTCCACAGGTACAGACATGCCCACAGATACGACCACACACATACAAGATGTCTTCTATCACTCTCTACCCCATTTTTAATATGATATTTCTAGCAACTCTTGGGAATTTCATACGTACAATGCATTTGACCATATTCAAAGACCCTACTCTTCCCAACTGCATTTCTTCCTTCTCACTCCTTCCAAATTCTTGGCCTTTTCATTTTCAAGATAACCCACCCCATCCAATTCACACACTTTATTTTTTGAGCCAAGGTCTCTTAACTGAATTTGGAGCTCACTTATTTGGCGACACTAGTTGGCCAGCAAACCCAAGTAACCCTTCTGTGTTCTCCATGGCCTCTTCACAGAGATTCATTCATTCATTCATTTATGTATTTATTTTGGTTTTTCGAGACAGGGTTTCTCTTTGACTTTGGAGCCCGCCCTGGAACTAGCTCTGACCTTGAACTCACAGGGAACTCCCTGCCTCTGCCTCCCAAGTGCTGGGATTAAAGGCGTGTTGCCACCACCACCCGGCCTTCACAGAGATTCTAAACTAATGTCTTCATGAGTGTTTAGCAAGCACTATACTGAGTCATCTCTCCATACCAGAATAATCATTGTATAACATGAGCAACCAGTTTACACAATTAATTTGCCAATTAATTGTAAATACCTTCAGCCTCTACCTATTGCTCAAACCTTTTGGCATACTCTACATGCTGTGTTTTAGCTACATTTTTTTTTCTTTTCAGTTCCTGGAATCCACCCCAATTCCCAATCACCTTATCTTTGCAAATGATATGGCTATAACATGGCCCTCACTCTTTTAATCAACCATATTCTCCTGTCCAGAAATATAGTCTCACTGACTAGTATTCATTCTCTTTAATCCATTGAGTCTCTTCTACTAGATTATGTCTTCCAAGACAAAAGATGAAATATCTTTTGTTTTCCATTGTACTTCTAGTACAAAGCATGAAACTGTCACTTAGTAGATGGTGAATATTTGTCTAATGAATGCATGTGTTCAGGGCCCCGAACACTTCTCACAACAGTTATTTCAACGTTTTGCCTATTTCCTCATGCTTCCATCCTTTCCTACCCCAGAAGAATCAACATTTCTTTTTCATAGTGGAACCTGGCTCTAAGCCAAGAACAAAGCTCTCACTGTTATAATTGGTTCTAGTGACAGAAGACATCCTAAAAGGAGATTACTTTAATAAGTTGTATTCTATTATTCTGTAACTGTTTATTTAGCACCTTGTATATTCTGGGCACTGTTTTCAACTCTGGGAATACAGTGTTAAGGAGGGACAGATAAATTCTATTCTAACAAAACTGCATTCTAATAACAGACCCACCCAATAGAAAAGAATTTGAAAACCAAAAAATGAGAAGGAAGCAAATCATGTAATAGGAACCGGCTAAGACACCAAAAAGAAAAACTAGATGCCACCTAGAGCAATGGTTGTCAGCCTGTGGTTTGTGACCCCTTTGGAAAGCTCTACCTCCAAAGAATATTTACATTACAATTCATAACAGCAGCAAAATCACAGTTATGAGGTAACAACATACAATGTTATAGCTGTGGGTCACCACAATATGAGGAACTGTATTAAAGGGTCACAACATTAGGAAGGTTAAGAACTACTGCCCTGGAATAAGAGATAATAGGCATACCTATGTTCTCACAAGTAGAAGCAGCTCCTCAATAAATATTCACATGTCTTGAGATTCTTGTTATGTCCCTGGGGAAAAAGAAAAAAAGAACTCAATACTTATATAAACATACTTTAACCTAGGATTCCATACTATAATTTTATTCTTGATACAAAGTATATATGGTAAAAAAAAATAAAACTTAGATTACATACAGGAAAATACAGTTCAAAAATTCAAGTGTTACTGTAAACTAGGTACACTACAATCTTGGCATTTGAGAGGTGGAGGTGAGAGGATCAAGAGTTCAGAGTCGACCTCAGACACAGGAAATATATCTCAAAAACAAGTAAGATCCCTGTTTATGATGGTTACTTTGAACGCCAATTTAACGTAATCCAGAATCACCTGATAAGAGAATATCAATGCGGGATTGTATTGATTAGATTAACCTGTGGGCACGTCTAAAGGGGATCTATTATCTTGATTACATTAATTGAAGTAGGAAGACCAATACAGTGTGGGTGGTACCACTCCAGCAGACAGGGATCCTGAACGGTCAGAGAGCAAAGCTAGCTGAGCAGTGAGCATGCACAATTCGTTTACTGACCTCAGCTCCTGACTACAAAAGTGAAGTTACTAGCTGCTGCAAGTCCCTGCCACCTTGACTTCCCCAAAATGAAGGACGGTAACCTGGAAAGTTAGCTAAAATGGACTCTTCTCCCTGAGGGCTCTTCTGTCAAAGTCTTCTATCACAGCAGCAGAACTGAAACGAAGACACTGTCATTTTAACGCTGATTTACATGATTCTCAGGGAAGAACCAATCCGCATTCTTATGCTATGCTCGTAAAATACTGTTACCATCCACAAAATTATGACAGGAACACATACAAAAACCACAGACCTTTGGAGTTAGAAAGGAACTAATGAATCGTTTTCATTTTGTGAGGGGATGGAGTCAAGAACAGATGGCTTGGTTTCTGTGCCAGGTCTGTCAGCTCCCAGCTTAGACAAGTACTGTAGAAAGGATCCGCTACCCAGGGTGAAATGAAAATGGCAAGGAGTGTCAGTGAGCTGCTGGCCAGGGAGGCTAGCCAAGATGGCCCTGGAAAAGGCAACGTCTATAACCACCCTGGGGAGATCTAACACACAATACAGATGGTGCTTGCTCACTAACATACATACTATAAATCTGGAAGAGAGAAAAGTAAATAAATAAGGACTCAGAAGTTCTTCAGTCACTTGCCAGCTTAGACCCCTACCAGTCCCTTAATAGTGGGTAAAATCTACCTTATTTCCTCCTCACAAAGTTCTGCCTTCCAAGACTGAGGGCTCTCTGCTTCACACAGATGATGGTATCTCTACTATTCTTCAGGCAGCCCTGGGACTGAATGCTTTCAGATGCTGGAGACATTGTAAAATTCGTGAGGAGGTAGGAATTTGCAATAATTTAGGTCCTTATCTTCAGACTGAGAAAGTGCTCATTTTCCTTCAATGGCTTCCCAGCAAATGAGAACCATGGAGAGTCTCTGTTCACCACTAGAATATCTAGAACACTATCAAAAGAAATACAACGAGCCATGGCCTGTAATTCTCTAGCAGGCACAGTTCAAAAGTAATAAATGAAATTTAGAGTATCCTTTAATTTAACCTATCCAATCAAAAATGTTTAAAAATATACAACCAACGTAAAGAAATTACTAAACTTTTTACATTTTTTTTTTATTAAATCATGGGAATCTAGTCTCTACACTTAAAACGCGACTCAACCCCACGTGGCTACTGGACACAAGTTCAATACATTACTATAACGCAAAAACATACAAATCTCTGCTGTGGGGTTTGTCTTCTTCCTTACCGAGCTACATCGCTGTACAATAACAGTTTCGGGAAACTTGCAGCACTACTGTCTCCAAGACAATGCATAGCACACATCTAAATTTTCGTTAAGATAATAGTTATTCAAAACAGTCGACAAGAGTAGTCATTTGCTGAGCAATTCGGCAAGGCAGAGGCTTCACTCCTCTCAAGGAATTTGCATTATTCGTGTAGGAAGCGAGCAGAGAACAGAGCTCACAGGGTGACAGGCCCTTTAACAAGAATTTAAGAGGGTACAACTGGAACTCATCATGTTGTTATTCCGGGTACACCAGGCATCTGATCGCGACTCCCACGTCCCAGACACCCGGCTGAGCCGCTCGGCACGGGGGGGAGGGGGGGACGCGGTACCACACGCGCGCCGCGGCCGCACAGAGGACGGGCTGCCACGCGGCCGCGGGACGCCCGAAGGCTCCACACGAGGCCGCCGGGCGCCGGACCGTCCCACTGAGCAGAACGCCGCCCGCCCGCGAGGCTCTGAAGCAGCGGCCGCAGCGGCCACCCCCGGGGCCCGCCCGCGCCGAGACCCGCTCCGGGCCGCACTCACTGACCTGAGGAGGTAGCGCGCCGCCACACAGCCGTTTCCGGCCCGACGCCGCCCCGCCCGCCGCGGGAGCCGCGCGCGGGTAAGATGGCCGCCGAAGCGCGGGCCGTGACCCGGGGCCACCCGCGGGGCCCACGACCAAACCGCCGCTGCGGCCAGGGAAGCGGACGCCACGCCCCGAGTCACGCCCTCTCCGGCCCGGCGCCGCCCCGGGGCGGGGCCACCGCTCGGAGTCACCGCCCCCTCTCGAGCGCTCCGCCCAGGGGGAGACCCCGCCCTCGCCCGTGGGCGGAACCACAACCTAGAATTCCCGCCTTCCTCCCTCGCGGCTCCGCCCAGCGCAGGCCCTGCAAGCTGTGAAAGCTAGCCTGGAATTTGCATTTATTCTTAGGAGCCAGATAGCACGATCAAACCAGTGCACATGCTTTGACATATGTGGTCCATTTTAATTAACACTGAAAAATAATGACGGGCGATGTAGTAGAAAGTGAAGGATTTGGGGCTCATGATTGCTCCCTTTGGTTATCAGGAACACCAAGGACCTTGGTTATCAGGAACTCCAAACCACCCTTTGTTCCAGTGTATCTCCTAATCTGCCCTCCAGGTTATCTAACCTGTCAGGGCTTCCCTTCCAGTAACCCTTACCTAGTAGCCTAATACTACACAACGCCTGCATCAATCACTTCATTTCATCTTATCATGTAGGTAGTTATATTGACAAATCACCACAAGAAGGGTGATTACAATACAGAGAGCAAGAGAGACAGAGTCACGTACATATTTATAGTCCTATTGACCCTCCGTGTCCTCCAGCTCTGCCCCTGCAGGTTCAACCACCACAGATCAAACTACGTTCTTAAAACTGGGCATGGTGGAGTACAACTACAATATCAACACCCCAGAGGCTGAAGCAGAAGCGTCAAGAGTTCAAAGCCAGACTCTGCTATATGGTGAGCTTGAGCTAGATTGGTTGTGTGAAAATAATGAAAGACCCTACAGACCCCCTCCTCAAAACCCGCAGCTAGCATGCTCCCGGGGGAACGTCCTGTTTGCTTTAAAAAAATTCTCTGGATCAGCAGCCAGCCTGTTCTCGTAAGAACATCCCATGTGCCTGAGAGAGCAGGGTGTCTATGAGATAGGAAGACTGCAAGGCAGGATGTCAATAAGATAGGACATCAACAAAGCAGGTTGACTGCAAAACAGGATATCTATAAAGATAGGAACAGGATGACTGTTGCCAGGCATCCATGCTGAGAGAGGAAACCATTCATGCCCCCCCCCCCCCCCCCCCCCCGCCTCATTCCAATAACCACGCTTTTGCTTCTGTAAACTTGCTTCTTGCTGACACCCATGATGAAAGAGGAAACCATTCATGCCCCTGTAAACTTGCTTCTTGCTGACACCCATGCTGAGAGAGGAAACCATTCATGCCCCCGCCTCATTCCGGTCGACCGATAACCATGCTTTTGCTTCTGTAAACTTGCTTTTTGCTCTTCCCTATAAAAAGCCCGCTCTCCAGTTGGCAGGCGCGCAAGTCTTCAGAGAGATCTTGCTGCCCTCAGGTACCTGTGTCTACTCAATAAACCTCTTGCGATTTGCATCCCTGCCTGTGGTCTCGGCCTGTTCCTTGGCGTTGGGGAGGTCTCCTCCCGAAAAAAGGTCCTCGTCGAGGGTCTTTCAATAACTGTCTGTCTCTCCGTCCGTTTCTCTTTGTATCTCTTTGTCTCATCTGTCTGTCTACCTCTCCAGATGTGTGTATGTGTATGTCTGTATTAAACTTGTACACTACTATAAGGAATTTAGAGATAATTTAAGGTATACAGAGAATGTATGTAGGTTATTTGCAAATATCACACCAAGATCAAACATTTGAGCACGTGTAGATTTTGCTATCACTGCAGAGTACAACGGGACAACTATTTTTGTTTAACTATTATATTGTTGTTGTTACTGTGCCTGATTTATAAATTAGATTTTATAGAGCTATATTTGAATACGAAAATATAGTATGTTTAAGTTTGATACCAGCCACAGTCTGAAGTGTCTACTTTATGATGGACTTTATACACATATATATTAATTAAGGGGAAACTAATATATGAATAAACCAAGGAGGTGAAGAGAGCGTGAGAAGCCATATGATAAACACACTGGAAATTAGTTTACTGCCTCTGCACAGGCTTTTTCAGAAAGGCAGCTGTGGAGTACCTGACGATCTTAACTAGGGTAGTGATAGAACCAATTGTTCCACAAAGAGCTGGAAAGGTAGAATAGCCAAGTAAAAGATAATGAAGACTCAAATTACTAGTGCTGAGACAAGCAGGCCGCTTGTGACGTAATTCAGAAGGTGAGACTAACCAAGTAAATGATGAAGATTTTAGGGTGTAGCTCCTGAGTGCCACTAGGATCCCTTCAGTTGACTGATAGCCTATGCTTGTGTCCTTGCGCTTGGTTGTGGGCATGGTGGTAGCGATTGGTCATTTTAGTAAGAGGATCAATTTGAGGTGAGGAATATATTATATTCTTGACTCCTGCTATGTAAAGAACATGAAATATAATCAAGGGAATAATATATCAAAAGATCCATCACTTTAGCTTGACCCTATCCCTCTTCTAGTTGGTTTTGGCCTGGGATATATAAGTAAGTAAGACCAACCTTACATCTTTTAAAAACGGCTATATTGACACCTGCCCTAGTTGAGGCAAATTCCATCAATAAATTATTTTACTTCTTATTTCAGAAAAATAGAATCAAAACTGCTAGATAGGAATCCTAAAGCCCCTCCCCCCCCGTTGCTTCCTGCCCCAGCACCCCTTCTTCAATTACTGCCACCCTTGTAGCTGATATATGGAGCAAGTGCATGCTTCTGCTCTTGTGAGATTTGAAAATATCTGCTTGGGTTTTTTCCTATGTTTGGGAATCTCTAGCCTCACCATTTCTGCTGGTTACCACATTTACATGCTCAGACCACTCTGTTTTCCTCAAAGGAATTTTTGCTCTGTCGAATCCCACTTTCTTGTGTCTTCTAGAATTTTCTTCACTGTCTTTCATACCTACCATGTTGTTTGACAGAGGTAGCAATGATATTCACTCTGCCATTCCAGTGACCAAGGCTTCACCCTTGCACATCATACACAGTTGACTGCTTCTCTCTCTTGAAATACTTTCTTCACTTGGCTCCCCATCATTAGCCTGGTCTTGTTTGTTTTGGCCCCTGTGAGTTGGTCGTTTCTTTGACCAGACAAAAGTGTTGCTTCTGTGCTCTGTCCTGGCTTGTCTCCCCAGCTGGAAAGTTCCTTAACTACAACATTGCATGAATTAGCCTCTGCTTAATTCAAAACTGGTCTCTTATCCAAGACTGTGTAAGACTTCATGTATAAGTCAATGTCTTACTTACCTGTAGTCATCCTCCATTAAGTTTTACAGTCCAACACGTTCAGTTTTCATTGTCTTTTCCTCCCTTCCTCATCCTGTCTCATATTTCTTCCTTTCCTTTTTTCCTTTTTTAATTTCTTTGTTTTGTTTGAGACAGGGTCTTGTTGTACTTGCCAGGTTGACCACAAACTCCTGATCTCTACCCTTTCTTCTGAGAGCTGAGATTACAGTTGTGAGCTACCACATTTAGACCATCTGCCACTTTATGAGAGCATATCTGCCTCCAAGTTTTAGCAAGACATTTGGTGACTCAGTTTCTTTTTCTTTCTTTCTTTTTTTTAAAAATATCCTTTCGCCTCCCTTTCAGGTGGATACTGTCAAAAAGTTGTAAGTGAGCATTAAGTGTATTCCTTATAAGAGAATCATCTCTCATCCACTGCCTGGCCAATGGTATAAATCAAGCAACAGGTATGAATCAGAAAGGAAGCTACATGCTAAGGAAGGCAAATGTAGCGCATTAGACTAAGTCAGTGTAATTTTGGAAAGCCGAAGGCCTTTACATGGGTTTTGTGGGCAGCATGTTACAAACTGCTCAATGACTCAACATAGACCAGCTGCATACTTGGAACTGGGGCAACGTGCATGGCTTTCAGAGGCGGTTAACGGACTTCGACCATGTTGGGCTATGCAAAGCATGCAGACCGTACCGTATATGCCCTAGTATTCTGCAGCTTAAGTTTTTAAGAAGCGCTTAGCATTTTAAGAAGCATTTCCTGGTCAGAAAGAAGTTATAAGTACACAATAAAGACAAATTCAGATGGTAAATACCTCTAAATAGTTTACAGTGTTGGATAAATGTACCTAGGCTTAGGAGAGAGAAGAAAAAGAGTATAGAAAGAAGTAAAAAAAAAAAAAAGAATAAGCCACGTACAGATGGAATATATACAGAGAGTCTGGATTGTGAATATTATTGTGTTTTCTTTGAATTTTTTGACTCTGAAGGAGCTAAGTACAGAGAGACATTTCTTTGTATGGGCTGTTAAGTTAAACCAACATAAAGGTATCTTAACTTTAAAATCTGAGTCTAAGGTTATGTTGCTTTGGAAAAGAGGTTCTTCTTTTGTTTCCGTAGCAGATGAGAATCTGTGGATTAAAAATAGACTAATGTGGTCTGATGGACCAAGACCCCCTGAAAGCTTGTCATGAACACCCCCCCCCCAAATCACTTCACCCAACTGCTGACTAAGATGAACCTAGCACACAGGATACACCAGGAAAGACCTGATTGACAGCGCCCCCGATCAGCATGAAGTAGTCTAGAAAACTACACTCAAATCCCCAAATATTGTTTATAAATGTTTGTTTACATTTAAAGGGGGCTATGCTATCAAGATTTGCATTGGTATGGATCTTGTCCTATTGATACAAATTATAGGTCAGTCTTCTTATATGTGTATTTCTGCTCTTGATTAAGGTATTATGTTTGTGAAGCTCATTTAAAAATGTAATGCATAATTAAGAAATATAGATTAATAGGTAGTCATCTATAATACTCATACTTGTAGTCATGTTTGTTTGATTTTCTAGCTATATAGAGAGATATATTTCAGTTAGATAGGTGTTCTTCTAATCTTTCAGAGACCTTCACAATATGGCATTGAAAATGTTTTAAGAACTTAAGACTTTTCATGACAGTGAGACACATCTGCTCCTGGCAGCACCAATAACTTCAAGAGGAAGATGGGCATTGAAGAGGCTCCTTATGGAGTTTGTTAAACATTTGGGCAAGAAACTTCTCTTGCCTGGACTGTGTGA